GCTGATGACAAATACAGGGCAAAGTTCAACTGCCAAACAACCTCCAAAGAAAACCTTAAATCTTTGTGTTGGGAAACTGTGGAATACAACACTCTGCTCCAACAATCACAGTCCCTTATAGCAACAGTCAATAACCTGCTGTCTCAATTACTCTCATCCAACTCTCCAGAAATGCCAGATGTGGTTTCCTATATGAAAACTCTACAACCTGATTTCAAGAAATACACTAAAATGTATTTATGAAGAAGAGATACCCTGCCACTCATATTTTGGTTATCTTGTTGTCTGATGAGAGACGGAAGGCAAAGCCATATGCTCTCCCTGTACAGTAKGTACCCTTCCATTCCTTTAAAGACCAGTACATCAGGGACATCACAAACAAAATCAAGAATGCTATGGTATCCATGGGGCTGAAACCAGTTGGTAATTAAGTGATATTTTATGATATTTTACATACACCTACTTGCGAAAACGTTGTCATAAAAAATAGGACGTTTGTATTTTAGTAAAATGGAATAAATTAAAAAGACAAAAGAAGGTCACTGAGCCTGAACGCTTTCTTTTGTTTTGTTTTAATTTATTCCTTTTTACTAAATTCGAATGTTCTATTTTCTATGACAACGTTTCAACGTTTTCAACGTTTCGTTTGCATGCAGGTCTCAGATTCATAAATAATCAATTAGGATACAATTAATAAGGATGCAAAACCAAACAAAATCTAACAAACCACAATCTGCATTATGGGGTTTGAAGAATTATTTCTTGCATTAAGTTTGAGTCTGAGACTGTGAAAGAGACTGTGAATGCAGAGTTAAAGGAAATATTTCCTCAAATTCAAGCATAATTACATGTAATTGAGAAATTCAAAGCAAAATAAATTTGGCTAATATATTTTTAGGAACAGTGACAGATGGGGAGTTCAGCTCTCTGAGAACACAGGGGGAAACAAGGCCATTGCATTTAGTTCAAATTGTACATGATGCAAGGGAAAGTGTTAGCAGACAAAGTCAAGATACTCTTTTGTTAATGCTTATCAAAGTTGGAGGTACGTGTAGTCTGAAGATATGAGTGGGTATGGGTGTGAGCATGAGTAGGTGTGTTGTATATAGGATTTGCTATCTTGAGCTACAGGTGTCAGATTATAATGCACATACAACACTGATGTAATGCTTTATGCTATTTATACAACCCCAGCACTCATAAAGCTGGTAAACAGCAAAAAYATTGAATTTAACAAAGAAAGTATAGTCTAAATAAAACATCTAGTGAGCATGTAGTCACAAATTCATTAAATGTTCTATTTCATTATTATATAGAAGATGCTCTGGGTAGACCTATTGTTCAGAAACCAAACAAGTACATCCCTGATTCTATTGTAAATGAGCTTCACCACTTAATTCACAACTGCAACATGC